CTCAGTAGTAAATAAGCCTGTCGATTGCGGCTTATTTTGTTAAGTCAGACAGGAAATGAATAAGCTGTTTAATTTTTGGATCAAAAATTGAGCATGGCTACATCTTCTCTTAGTCGACATTGTTAAAACAATCCAAATGTATTTTGCTATATATATTTGCGGAGAATATACATGCAGTTCAACAGGAAAGGGATCAGTAAATTTGTGAGGTGTGCTTATCTTGCTTACTTCAAAGTAATTCTGTGTGATCAAGATAAGGTATGGGCGCCCCATATTGTAGGTAAGCAATTTGTTGAACATCCTCGACAGTGGACAAAAAAGGATAGAAAGTCACTCCGCTTTGGTATTTCAAATGGTCTGTAATTTTATGAATCCAAGAGAATTGAGTGCTTCGACGGCGTTTGCAAATGTAGTAAAATTATTTTTGGAAAAAACAAAGGCGCCCAACTACAAAGACCTTGTTGAAACACTACTTACAAGTCTCCGTCAACTGGGTGCAAATATGAGCATCAAGTTTTTGCACAGTCATCTTGCCCGTTTTCCAGAAAATCTAGGTGATGTGAGCGATGAGCAAGAGGAGAGCTTCCATCAAGATATCAGCGACATGGAAGTTCGCTATCAAGGTCGTTGGGATTCCACCATGCTTGCAGACTACTACGTTGGTCTATCAAGCGCGATGATGCCGGGGCCTTCTATTCTAGAAAATCAGTAAAACGTCAATTTATAGCTGATGACATCTATTAGTTAGCATTTATTACAACTTTCAGCTTTAATTGTGAATATTTCGGTGGGATTCCATGAATAGGTTCAATAAAATTACAGAAAAATGTTGTTTCTTCAATTTGCCTATCTTTATTGTAGCTATCGGCATCCTGCAGATATAAGAGAGTGATATACCATAAAAGAAAAACTAGACCTGATAGAGAAAAAGTAACCGCATTTCTGGAATCAGCGTCCTCAAATTTGCTAAAAAAAAAACGTTTAAAACATCTTAGGCACCATGGAAAAAAAATTGTCGGCCAGTGTAATCAACGAATATATTTTCATCGTCGTGTTTTTATTTTCATGTCTGTTTACTGTGTCGAATTTGGCTCCCCCTATAATTCTGCCTCCATTTTTGACCTTTTCACCTGGTCGCATACCAAGGTAACCGTGCTACTATCTTCACAGTGGTGAAAAATAGGTACCGTAGTAACGGCTGGCCTAGGGATGCGACAAGATTCGGATTCGTGGCCGAATCTCTCTTAATTTGATACTCGGATTCGGCCCGAGTCTTTGATGATTTTACCCGAGCCCGGGACACCATACGTCACGCGATAGTCAATCGCAGACTGGTGCGCATTACACAAGAAATTCAATTTTCTCGTTCTATTTTGCCACGGGAGTATCCAGCCGATTTTCTTTCGCTATTCCTCTCTTTTATCCAACTATCTAACTAGGGACGCAGAAAGGATTTTTTTTTATTAATGCAGGGGTTTGCTTACGGTGAAATTAAAAGAGCGTCAAAAGTGCAATTCATGACGACGTAAGGCGTTTAATAAACTAAAAAGTATGCGTCGTTCACAGCGAAATTCCACGGTTACGGGTAGCTCGCCAGTCACCTCCATTTGCCTAACGGTGTTGGGGATATTTTGCAAGTCGTATTTCGAACATCTTCTAATTATCGACCATTATTCCGTAGTCAGTGGGTACCCATATTTAGAAATAAAACAATAAAAATCGTGAAAATCAATTTTAGGCAGAAGTGCAACTCGCGGATGTCAGTGGCGTTATAATCGCACGCTTGCATGTAGCGCCGATCAAATGTATGAAATGCGAAACTATTATTTGATGTTAAATCAAGTCGATTTTTATTGCCATTCAATGAGTATTTATTTACATGTGACATGATTAGTGGTGTGCAAAATCGATTTTTTTCCAATCGAAATATTCGAATGTTTTTAATATTTAACGAATACCGGATTGTGAAATATTGTCAAAGCTATTTTCGAAATTTATCAGAAGACTGAAAACTCGTTAACATAACAACACGGCGTTTTTTTATTTCATAATTTTGTCATAGTCGCTGATTATTTTTTGTCATCGCGATCGTTTTGTCGGCGGCATACCAGTTAATGCTGGTAAATTATATTAAAAGCACTTTTATGTTATGCGGGCATCGTAGTTTGGTTTTTATCTTTCGGACAGAATTGTGAGTTTACATCGGTGAAGATGTTACAGCGTTATCAAGGAGTGAATTCACGAGTCCACGACACAAATTAATTTTATTTTTTATTTTCTGTGTAGGATTTGATCCTCCATATCACAATTTGTAAATTACTGTTTCAATTTTAAGCGAGCATCCTTATTAATATTGTTCCCGGGATGGAATATTTGTGAAGCAGATAGTTGACTCTTTTATGCTTTTAATTTTATATCGTTTCCGTGTTATTTTCATATTATATTAATAAATAAAAGCCCCGCCAATTGGTCATCGCCTGAATACTCAGTGTTGAGTATTTACGTACCTCATCTTTCGGTTAGAACACTAATACTAAATAGTTAAATAAATCGGCAATATTGGCATTTCTATGTGGTCAAAATAATATTTTCCCCTAAAATCTCGGGAAATTTCCATAGAATACATTATTTACTTAATCTGTTTCGACGTATCCAAATTTAAAAAGCGGAGTTCACCGGCTTTATGCAAAATTAGAAATTAAAAAAAAAGATAGGCGCAGAAAGAAAACAAAAAACATATCACAAGATTTGTCACATTTGTCGTTTCCGTCTGTTAGCGAGAGTCGTAGGTAAATTCTTACTCGTAATTCGTTGTAAATTAATATTTATAAATTTAATTTTGCTTTTTAATGCGTCATGATTTATTGGAAAAAGAGAGTCCCCAAATTAGCTTTTAACCCCTCTCTCTTTTTAAGCGCCCATAACGACGGTAAAATTCGTTTCATGTCTTTTTCATAGAGAGAAAGAAAAATACGCCTTAGCAATCAACAATCACATATTCTTATATCAGAGCCAACTAAAAAAAATGATTCTCCCGAAAGCAATAGTGTTTTGTGGAACGTTTTGAATTACCGGTACATAGTCTTATCTTACGGAAATATTTAATTTACGGCCAATATACGCGAACAACAGCATCACTTTAGGTATTTATTTCGGAGCTATGTAAAAGTATTGGACTCGGGACTCGGACACGAGTCCAGCGCAAATACTCGTGATTAGGCCGAGCGAACCTTTTTGGATTCGTCGCATTAAATACCGCACCTGTTACCTGTAGGTAAAGTTTTCCAAAATAATAATAAAACGATGCATAGGTCCACGTCGTATCCAAAATCGATCCACATGTACATTTCGTGTCTAAATACAGCGGGCAGTCGACTAACAAACCCCCGCCTTTAATTTTCAAATGATAAGTTTATTTCGACTTCATAATCAGCATGACAGGCAATAAAATGATTGAAAAAAAAACAAATAAATAAAAAATATTTATGAAATCAGGAGAGCAAACAAACCCTGAGAAAAGGTTCAAAACCAACGTACCGAATATAAGATGGAAAGTTTATGACGTCATACAGTTTACACGGTTGAGAGAAAGGCCCAGACGAACTGAACGTTGTGGTCGTCTCTCGTCTGGATGTTGCCGTCAACTATTGCTGTATTGATACGCCAGCTCTTCTCAAGTTGTACCTGACTTCTGGCGAGGGGTACCGATATCTGATTACCAGTAGGCGAATATTTCACTGTTCACCGGCGTACATATGACAGTATGCTACAGTGAAGCGAATGGTTCAAGATAAAGAGGTAGACTGACGGCACCGGTCCAGCGGTATTTGTTACCCAGTCCAGCAGTTACCGTACAACGATATCTGAATATAGCTGTATAGTGACTTTTGCAAATATTAAGTACCGGTATGTTTTCAAATGAGGAGATTTAAACGGAGTTTGATATTTTGATGCATGATAGGATAATTAATTATCATAAAAACTGAAATCTATAAAGACAAAAATATTTACTGTAGGCTATTACAAAAATTCAGAAAAGTCAAGAAAGAAAGACATAAAAGTCATAATGCTGTAATGCAGTACCGGTACCGGTAGTTTGCAATCTCACATTGTCACATACCGGTAGGCCTATATAAAAATAAAAAATCATGATGAGATGCAGACTTCAATTTTGTAACATGACTATATTATTAGGGATAATAATATATTTTTGATACCGTTAAAAGTGTGTATTGTAGTGAAAAATGATGAACATAAATTATAAACTGAAATGGTCAGGAATGACTCGGTAAGACACTTTGTAATCGGAATTTAGGCTCAAATGACAAGCAATAAATTCAGAGTCCTATTAACATTGGCATTCTAGCGCTTACATTATCTATGAAGCCAAACTGAAATAATAACATAAGTTATCTATCGTTATACATTTTGGGCTGAACCCAAACAAACAACGAAATGAATCAAACTAAAGTAATATATTAGAGTAACATAGGATTGGACTTGTATGCCATGTCTGTATGTGGAGATTAATGCGACTGAGCTTAAGATATCTCATTTTACAGTTTTAAATTCATTAATTTTCATGCTTGGTACCATCTCGTTGCATTGGTTTATTGTTTAAGTGTTTATTTGATTTTCTTAGCTATTAATGGATAATCTTAATTTTCCATATGGCTATATCAGTCGGTCAGTATAGTGATGTCTGTTAATCTGTAATAATTGGCTAATTAATATCTCGGTGTGCTGACTGATGATACAGGTTGAGTTGATACATTGTTACCCAAATTCTCGTAATTAAATATTGTGTTCGACAACTACATTTGCATAGTCGTCAGATAAATTGGAATAACTGTCATTATCAACTTGTCATTATAATTCAGTAATTGAGTTATTCAGTACTGTAGCGTTCATAAATTTAAACAATATTTCAACATGATTTCTTTTGTTACCTTGTAGTTCAAAGATGATAATTATGGTGCTGAACATGCAAAGGTTTACTACCTCTGTGTTCAAGTTTTAATTACCAAATCTTTTACTGCTGCTGTTATTCGTTAGTCAGTGAAAGATGGCTACAGTCAATGATTCATTTCCTGGGAATAATCCAGGCCCACTAGACTGTAACATGACACTTAATCTGGATTATGATACTGGGCTGGCTGCATTATGTGTGACGCTTGGATTATTCGGCCTACTATATACTTTTGTTGGTATGTTAATTTGATATTTTTGTCTATTACTTTTTTTGAAGTATCATGCATTTTTTGTATTGCTGGAATGTAGCTGTAATGTTGTTACTGTGTTAGGTTTCCAAATTTTTCGACCTACTCAGGCCACAATGCGACATAAGGCTTTTGAGTTATGAGTTTAGTTTTTATTCTCCTTGGGAGTTTGAAAACAGGTACCTATACAACCCATGCCAACTATGCCCAAGCCCAGATATTCTATGAATCTACCTATATTTGGTAAAATAATCACTCTTAAACAACTCGCAAGGTGGTTAAAAATCAAACTCATAACTCAAACCACATTATGCCACCTTGTGGTCCGAAACGTCAGTATACATTGTTTTTGCTTTGAGCGAAATTTAGGAAAAAAATTTTGAGGCTCTTTTTTTATTCAAAAATACTTTCAATATTTTAAAAATGTATTGATTTAAACTTTTGCGTTTTAGGTTATCGTTGCTTCAAAGCGGTTATGTTTCTAAGTGGATTAATATTTGGTGGAACAGTCGTTTTCGTTTTGTGCCAAGAAGAACGAATATTGCAACATACACTTTCGTTTGGTGCTATTGTTGGTAGGTATTGATCAAAAAAAACAATAATCTGGCATTGATTGTTATCAGCTGTTAAATTGCAATAAGTAAGATGGATACTCCTTGAATGAGATATATAGGTTTTATTTTGAATGGTTGAATAGGCAAGAATGTCAATAAGAAATTTAGTTTACTGTGCCTCATGTATTTTTTTCAGAAATGATTATTACATGTTATAATCACAATTGTTTCTGAAGAAAAAATTTTATGTGTCAAGTGAATGTTTTTTCTATCAACAAAATTCGAAACAAACATCCCAATAGAAATGTACACTTAATAGTATAGTTTGCCCTTGAGTTTCTAAATGAATGAACAGTTTATCTGAAACATGTGTAATCCTAATTTGTCAATTCATTTTATTAAATTGGAGACGCTGCTGCAATTTTACTATTTGAAACTAATTCAAAAATATATCGAGTTTATACAATTTTTATCCAATTTAGCTTTTTAGTATAAACCATATATAAATTCATCCTTTCAAGTATCGGACAAAAAGTTTTTTAATACATATTGTGTACAATGCACGAAAGAGACAACAATACCATACAATACAGTTCCTGCTTTTCATTACATTATTTAACAAATAATTTATTTTGTGGTGTTTGTTTTTCAGGTATTTCTGTTGGCATTGGTGTATTGTGTGGTTTTATAACAATGCTTGTTAGATATGCTGGCTTATTTTTACAAGGATTCTTTTTAGGCCTGCTTGTGGCCATTGGTGGTAAGTGGTAAACTTTTAGCATTTTAAAAGGATTTGCCTGTCTATCGTCTCATAGAAAGTCCTTGTTTATTATGTGATAGTGTCCCAACAGAAATATAGTTTGTTGCAATAAGGCTGTATCAGGTTCCCACCCTTATGCTAATAATCACCAAATAACAGTGGTTTTCGATCTCCATTCTTTCATTTGCCCTTTTCAAAATTAGCCATAACTCTTGTACATTTTCACTTTTCACAAATGTCAAAAATGACTCATGGGATGAAAAGTACTTCGAAAGGGGAAATTTCAACACAGAATTGTAGACTCTTTATATTAATTGCATGAGGTTCACATAACTACAGTTATGGGACAATGTATTAATATTCATTTTTACCCCGAGTGAAATTTACTCCTGGTGGAGAACCCTCAAATTGGGATACTAAGTAAGATGGGCTATGCCCAATGCAATTCTCTATCTTTTCGGTATGCACTAATACGACGAGGTATGAAAGACCTCATAAAAATATGCCAATAATTGCAATTAAATGATGTATTTTTATCAATACTGAGTTTTCTTGTTCTTACAGCAATCATAGCTTTACAAAAGTTCTACCATCCTTCTACACCATGGATTCCCGTTGGAATTTTGTTTGGAACTGGAATTATTTTTGCTCTGTTGACATTAAAATGGCAGAAACAGTTTATTTTACTCAGTACTGCTGTTATGGGTGCTGCACTTATTTGTGTTTGTCTCGAATATTTTATGGAAAAGTTTTTATTATTAAGGTAAGCATTTGAATTCTAATGTAAAAGTTATTTTATTTAACGCTTCGGTGCAGAAAATTTCAATTTATTAGATAATTAAATATCTTCATCTGAAGGGTTAGCTGTTCATTTCAAGTAGGGATGCACAAACAATTTAGTAAATACTAAATAGGTAAATGGAGATCAAATTAAATGTGATATGGGGATTTTTTTTGTTAACTGTACTTTCAAACATAATTTCTTTTTACATTTTGCCTCTTAGCGAAGAAATCATGAATTATGTCAAATTTAGAAAATAAAATTTGACATTCGGCCGAATTTTGTCGCAGAACATCTATATTTAAATTATTCAATTGTAATTAATTGAATTATAGAATACAAAACTATTCTGATATGTACACAAAATTACAAACTTACTTCTGTTCAAATTTACTTCTGTTTCTGTTTTTTGTCATAATGACAGAATAGTTTGGCCAAAGTTTTGTTTTCAACAAAGAAACATTTTTCTTTTTATTTCTTTTTGTTGTTTGGAGATGCCAAACAGAATTTTCTTCGAAAATGATTTGATTCAGAGTAAGTGATGTAATAGATTTTTCCCAAAATATATTTTGCTTTGTGAAATTTTTTGGAAAGTGCCCGGGGCAATTCCTTGTATGAATTATATTAAATTTATATGATGATATCAATTTAATATTGTGATAAATGATATGATAGCTGTATTGTGTTCAATATTATTGGCAAAATTGTTTGATTTATTGAGTTCATTTGCATCTTTTGTATCAATTATTAATTACGGTTTTATGCCTTTCATATTCCCAATGGGCAAGTTGTGAAATCATCAACATTTGGAACTGGCATATGTGACTTTCAACTTAGCAAATGGATTGGAAAATTGTTTTAAATGAAAACTGTTTTTGACATTAATTATTTCAAATTCACATGGAAATACTTTGTCTCACAATTATTGTAATCATCAGAAAACAGCCTTGTTTAGGTTGATTAAGGTTATCCATTAAGTTTTATCAATTAAACCTTAAAAATATATTTATATCATATATACCTTTATTAGAAGTTTTAGAAGAACAGAGTTATATTCGAAGTATATATAAATGTAACAATTTAATCAATCATAATATATACATTTCTTTATAGTTATTTTTGACCTTGTGTGCAAAAAAAAACACAATCAAAATTTCATCAAAATTGTAAATGTAAATATATTTGATTATACTTGATATGAAACTATTTTGTGTACTTAACTTCAAAACAGAAAACTATTACACTGATAAGTGTGTAGCATTGCGAAACCACTATTATTACCCTGTATCCAGATTTTATCGAAAAGTAGACATGAATAGATACCATAATGCATGATAAGAAACTATTTTTCAGACTTAACTTTTAAAGAGAAACCTATTTTTTCAAATGTGGAGCAAAGTGAAACCACTATAATCATTATGTACGACTTGATTTTTGTTAAGTAGCGGTTTTGATAAAACATGGTTATTGTTTGTATTGTCTATCACATGCTTGATATTAGCGAGTCCAATTATAAGAAAGTGATTATATTCTCAAATATTATCCTTGGTATCTGTAGTCTTATAAATTTTTAATTCAAATATTTTAAACAATGGGATTTTTGACATGACTGAAACTGATGTCGATAATGAACAATGAATTTTGGCAACTCAAGGGTCATTTTCTAGTTTCCTTGTCTGCTTTGAGTGGTTACTACGACCTGCGAGAATGTTTTTATGTTCATATTTGTCAATTTGACAAAAATTGTCAATCTGTTAGTATTTTTTTGAACTCTGATTTTCTTCTGTATTGATTATTTCATTCACTTTAAAAAATTAACAAAAGTGAAAAGTTTTACCATTCATAATTTAAAAATGTATCGCATAAATACATATTGCTTATATACATGTTCACAGCTGTGTTATTGATCACTTCAAAATCCTATTGAATGTCTGGCACCACACTTTCAGTCATTCACTGATGTAATTATATCACGAGTTGACGTGAAAGAACCACGAATTGTAATATTGGGGTTGGAAATTCACGATTTTCACTCTTTTTCTAGCTTTTTGAAAGTGTCGTTTCTCGGTAATGTTTTTTTATTAACATTTTTACAGATATATATGGGAAGCATTAATGGCTTCATCGTCTACAGATGTCTGCTGGTATTCATGGGTTATTTTAGGAATTTGGCCAATTCTTGCATGTAAGTCATAATATTGATTAATTTGGTTGTTTTCTCGGAAATAAACCGAGCAAATTTCTCCCAGCAATGGTCGTTTGGACGGAGTTTTAAAAGTTCATTTGCATGTTTAATACTTATCACATTTTAAATGAGTTTGCTGACCTCTTATAAAGTTCAGAAAAATGATCACTACAACATGGATTACCTAATAAGCAAATATTATATTCATGTTTCATTATCATTATCTCATCTAAGAAAACAATTTATTACTCAAAGCCCCATTGACAAGTGAAACAATGCTCGAACCAAGTTACTTGAATAAATGTGCATATTCGAAAATGCAGGCAACACCACAGACCACATTTACTTATACATGTACAAAGCCATCTCATCTACAAAATAATTTGAACTATAAACTTTTGAATCATTTCAAATATTCCAAAATGTTAACTTTTCAAGAGTTGATATGGTGCTCCTGGTAAATTGTCACCGTCAAACCAGTAATTCGAAGTGTATTTATAATGAACATGCGGAAAATGCCTCTCAAATATAAGATTTCGATTTGTAGAATTTGAGCAATGGCATTACAAAATACCATAATGTAATGTTCTATGGCGAACTGTAATTGTAATTAAAATAAATTTCTTTTTCCACAGTACTCCGGTGCTGTTATTCAATGGAAATTTACTGGGAAAGGATATGATCACACAGACGGTAAGAACTTTTTTAATAACGCTTCAGTATTAATTTCATAGAAAATGAAATTACATGATTACATATTTTCATCTAATCATTCTTGTACAATTTTATAATGCCTTAAAAGCAGCGTGCTGCCCATGGTGAAACCTCATGCAATATACAACACACTTACCTTGTTCATTATTGAACTGTCGCCAATAGTGTTTCCTTTATCAGCTTTTGCAGTCTTGTGTATATTATTATGCATTATTCGTAGAGAATAAATCAATACATATTTCCTGTGAGGTGTGCTGCCATATTGTCAAAACTAATTATAAGGGGATTAAAGGATATTACTATTTACTTGATGAGAGATCTATCTTTGACAATCATCCAATTTTATAAATTATATATAACTCTAACACTTGTGGCCGATTGCATTTTTTTCTTCTAATGAAAATACCTACCGGTACTTTGCTTTTAACACTTTTCTATGCATTATTTTATGCCCCACATTTAGTAATAAAAAGCCAACAAACCAAGGTAAATTATAAATGTATTCCAGTGAATGGAAGATATCTTAGTTAATTTACTTTGAATTACTGTAGTTATCGCGAATAGTACCTAAGGTCTTTGCATATGGCCCCCAGAGAACCGTTCCGTGAGCAGAGGGCCCAGTTTTATCAACCTTGGTTTAAAATATAAAGGCTTTGATAAAAAGTTTGCCCTATATATAAACAAATATATTTTTTCGCAGTTATAATTTTGAGAGGACAAAGAAAGAGAGTTCGAACACATTTGGTACGACAGCGTCGACGCAATCATTCACCTACTGATACACTTACCTCTGTTGCTTCTGAGCCGCCAAGATCGAGACCAAACAGTGCAAGAGCAGTATCCCGTGATAGAGATCCTCAACAACAGGTTTCAAGACATTCAAGTCAGCAAGAGAGAGGACGGGCAAGAGGTGCACAGCGTCAACAAGCTGCGGGTGCTGCTACCAACTTCGATACTTTACCTCCGGTAATATACTAATATTCTTTAAACAATATTTGCATGTTTTAAATCCTACCTCCATGATAAATTGAATCGGCTTATAGTAAAAGTAGGAGCTATCCACATGTTTTATATTTTATTTAGTTCATTCCCTTAGAAAGATCGTCATTGTTTTCATTCAACTATGACAATTTTAGATAATTTTGAATTTCTTTTTTATTTTCAGTTTTAATACATAGTGTAGGCATTTCACTTTGCCAACTTAATAATGCTTTTATTAATGTGTTACTTTGTGTAGTATATATACAACACATGAAAAAATTACTCTGCTATATTGCAAAATGCAAATCATAATACTGTACTGATTAGATAAGAGAAGTCAGGAATTTTTATTATTATTATCTTCATGTAAAGAAGTGGTTCAAAATCCAAGAGTTTTCCCACCATTGACTTTCTTTTTTTTCATTTCCCAGCCTATACACTTATACAGACTAGCTTATCGGAAAGATGTTAATGATTATACAAAAATTGAAATTTTAAAAGCGGCTCCGACACTTTCTTCACTCAAACATATTTTCAGACACTGTTGTAATCATTAATTAGTTTTCATTGTTATGCTAAGCTATTTGTCACTTTTTATTTATGCTCCTAAAATTTCGGTACAAATCAAATCACTCAATGGTTGTTTTCACTCCTAAGTAGTGTAGCAATCCAAAATTAGCCCTGGAAAATTGCGATAGACTAGACTAAAATAAGCAACTGGTTCTTTAAATGGCATATGGTTTAATATTCTGAATCAAAAGGATGATTATGAAACCAGTTAACTAGTTTATCAAAGCCAAGTCACAAAAACACTCTCATAATAATCATCAAAAATATTGCATTGATAAATGTATCAAGTTATTTGTGGTGTAGGCCAGGGTCAGGGAAACAACCTTCAAATTGAAATATTCGTAACAATGCTACAGAAGTATATTCCATCAAATGTTCACATTTTTAGCTCACAGGATCAAGTATCTTAGCATACCAGCTTTCATGATGTCACCCGAATCTAATTCTTAACATGCAACAGCTTTTCTTCTCTTTCCAATATATTAATAATTCATACTTACAATTATTTCTTTGAGCTCTTTGTTTCCACTCGCAATAATAAAAAGAAACATTTTTTGATTATTTCTCAACGAAAAACCTAGATTTCCATTTCACAGTGTTAACGTTCGTATCATTGGCAACGAGTCCGAGTCACCTTGAGTCTTTGAAAAACAATGACTGGAGTGGAACTCAAATTGAGTTAATGACTCAAGCTTCCCCAACAATGGTTTGAGTAGAAACAGAATATAATTTTTCTATTACACAGAATGCTTTAATGAATTTTAAGTAATCAGACCCACATGAAAGCTCATATATTGTGCCATTGTTAAAATATAATATTCATTACATTCTAGAAGATTAGAATTAGCAATTGCTTATCATTTCATTACAATGTACTTGAATTAGATATAGGTCACTTTATTTCTTTCTCAAATGGAATGCCTAAATTTTGACCTACTTTAGGAAATGTGCTAACACTTCATGTTTACAAAATGGATAATCTCATTCTTTGTCAAACATGCTGAGCTGTCTTGCTGACACTTTGCTTTGTATAAATAAACTAAAAGTTTTCACAACTTTCTGACCATGATCTCAGTTTTTCTATATCATATCAGTTGCAATTATAATGTAACACATATATACTACTTTTATAATATTTGAGTGTTTGTGTAAAAAGATATTGTGAATACTTGGTAGCGTACAGATGAAGTAGTTTTGTTATCTCTATACTATTAAAACACCTTTGCAGGCGACGCTCTTTTTCTGATCATACAACAATTGAAAATGAATTTTTTGCTTAGAATTCGGAATAGTTTAACACTCCAGTATCCTAATTGGAGTGGTAGTTAATTGAAGTTGTTTTAGTAATTGTCACCATTGAAATTCTGTAATTCTGACTCGGAGAGTGAAAATACTACAGTTTTAGTGACAACATGCTAAACTCTGATACCAAATACCTGAAACGCAGCTTGAAGCATTTGTTTTTGTTTTTATAAGACTTTCAATCACCTAAATATTTTTTCAGAGTTACGATGATGTGCAGCGCGGAGCTGGGAAGCCTGTTTCTGAAAATGAACAAAGCCGCATTGTAAGAACTAAACATGGGTCTTTCATCGCCCCCGCTGGGCAACGGCGCGCTAATATTCCAAACACAACGAACACAAATGAAAACGTTGGAAATAGACCAGCTAATCCCCTCCGAGACCAAATTATTCGTAATGCGGAAGCAGGTGTTGGATATACTGATTCCTCTGATCCAGGACCTTCCAATCCTCCTAGAAACTCCGAACGTGGTCGTAATAACACTCCGAGGTCTAGCAGTGCTGGAAGGAATCAAGAACGCTCTCGACAACAAAATAATCAAAGTCCTAATCGTTCACGACAAAACTCTAGTCGAGGACGTGGCGGTGCACAGCGTAGTTCATCGAGAGGTTCTCGCTCATCCCCAGCTCAGTCAAGATCACGACGAGGGAACGGAGCGAGAGGTGGTTCATCTCGGGGTCGAAGTTCAAATTCAGGTTCATTAGATGATAGACAATCTTTACTTACATCAGAAACGACACCGAATGCTGGTGCGGTTTCCTCGCGCGGCAGACGACCTCGTGCAAATGAAGCCATGGCTGCTCATGCAAGAAGGGTTCAAGCTGCTCAAGAAAGACGAAGACAAAATACGTGATACGGTTCTTCAGATTTAATTTTATCAAACAGAATGCAATTGTGATCACACTAGATACTACCAATACGAATAGATTGTTGGCTAACTAGCTAATCAAAATGATTTTGAGAAAAAATTGTAGATTTTTGCGAGTTCGAAAAGTTGAGCCGAAAACCTAATTTCTATGTATCTGTTTACTTATACTTGATTTTTTGTCATTTTTCAAACTGTACTCTGTTACACATAGCGGACATCTTCAGGAACAACGTTCTGAAATTCTACAATTCAGTTCTACACACTCTGACTGATGTATCAGTCAAAATTCTAAACTTGAATTCGAGACATTTACTTTTTTATTTAACCAAAAGTCAAAAATAAAAAAATTCTCCAGCAGTTTTTGCCAATGATTTTTTTTAATGTTTGTTGATTTATTCATTTGTTGATGTCTGATTTTGAAACGTTGACGTTGTTTATTTACACAACTTCACTGAGATTAATACAGCTGAAAACTTGATGCATTTATGTGAATGAAATATTGCTCATTTTGTGAGAAAATACGATAACTTATATATGACACCTGTACAGGGTAGTATAGAATAGAATAAGCGTAGTATAGAAAATTCAATGAAACTTCAGCAAAACAATTATGTCAACAGCAAACGTTCATTTGATTGTGCAGTTGATAGTTGCAAAAAGGATTCAATTTTTTCATGTAACATGTTTCATCTACTTTATATAGGCCCCTACTGATCAATATTTCGGAGATGAATTGCGCAGTTAAATTTGCAAAAATTCTTTGATTATTTTTGTATTGTATTGATGTATTATTGTATTGATCACGTTACAAAGAGTGACTTGTGTCCAACTTTCAATATCAAGCAATCTTTATCAATGTACAAATCAGATAATACTTTTATCCGGGACTGTTGAATCTTGGGAAATTTACAATGTACTCAAACTCCGGGTTGAAACTCTGACTCGACTCGTCATGAAAACCGACTCCAGTTTCGAAATCACAGAAAAAGAAAACCGTTTATGACTCTTGTTTAATATACTGATAAAAACAGCTAGTAAACCTTCAGCTTCATATACCACCAAGTTGCACTTTTCCATCATTTATCAAATATCGAGTCTAATGATGAGGCATTTTTATTATAATCTTAGTATAATGGTATTCCAAAAGTTAGCCATTAAAACTTTTCTTCATTTCTTACTATTTGACTTATAAGCTTAAAGCTTTGACGCTTGATGTATTTTCTCGTCTTTAGCTGCCATATATTTCCTGTGATTGCAATGGTGTACCCTTTATTTTGTTTTTCATTTTTTAAGATTTTTTATTTAAATTTTGCTTGAATGTTTGCCAAGAATATTGTCATCCATGTTTCTGTTTGAACCACCGGCAGCAAAATCTATTATATTTTAATTCCCGTTTCCAATTTTTTTTCAACCTCATAGAAAGAAAACATGAGAAAATGAGTATGTATGTTCAATCTATTGTTAAAAATTTAACAATGAAATCATACAGAAACAAAATTCGACAAAGATGTAAATTCAAACTGTTTTCATACAATATAATTACACATTTTTGAAAATTTCCTTTATTACTACTTCTGACCAAAAATGGCTGTGATATCACAGTCATCATGTTAACCCTCATAAGTGTTGTCAACCATCTTCTACATTTCATGGTAACATTCCTGATCAATTCAAACGTGGTCCGTGGTTGTAAACTGCTTTTTTTTGTTAATGCTTAAAACATTGTTCAATTTAAAAACAGTGTTCACTGAATAACACAAAAACCTAGAACGAGGTCTTAAAATGTCTCAACTCGGGCATTTTGTATCAGTCATGCTTTCCACATATCTGGGAATTTATTTTTTTGAAGATTTTATGTGCCATACAGATATCCTAGTTGGAAACTTGTGAGAACTGATCAACTGCAGTTTTGCAAATTGTATGAAATGTTCAAGAATAATAGACAGTTAATGGTGCTGGGATCAATGTCGGACTTGTATTACAGATAAAAGTATCACTTTGATTTTTGAATCGATATTTGAAATTTTTGCTCGAATGATGCTTTTTTAGATTAGTCAAATATTAAGTGCATATTGTACACACGACTTGTGATTTTTCGGCATCCCTAAAGGTAATGTTCTTGTACGAACTTTTGTGTTTATCATGCTATCTTCTTGTAACAAAACTGTGAATTTTACACTTTTTGAAAACTACGTTTTAGAATGATCCTCTAAAATGCTTCTTATTAGACAAATACAAAGATTACATTGTATTGTGGTCCTGAGTTATTAATCTAGTCAATGGGAGGCATCCGGAAAATGTAAGAAAAGGAATTTGCTGAAATAGCGGTTCCCAAACTTATTGTTCCCGCGGCGCCAAATTATCAGGGGAAAAAATCACATTCAAATAAAACTAAAAACTGTGATCGGTAATGTGTACTTCATACCTTTTGTAGTATGTAGGCCTAAAGATTGAGGGCAAAAGATAAACTCTTCTTTCTCATCTCTGCCTGATTTTCTATTGAAATACTAAATCTTAAAATCACTAATGTTCGCTAAACTCGGTTCAGCAAATAAATCAACTGCAGCAAGAGTGTCTACCTCTATTGTTACGTAACAGAAAGTAAACGACATAAATAATATGAATTTATTGATTCATATACACGCTATTTAAACAATAACACATTTAAAATACAAGACGTAATTTTCGCAGCGCACTGGTGGGGAACTTCCATTGGGAACCGCTAATCTAAGTGAACAAAGCTAAAAAGTGAACAACAAAATCGAAAACTAGTTTCTGGCGCTGGTTCTTGTGTAACAACATTTTTTTTTGTTTGAAAATTTTCTAATCTTGAGCATTTTTCGATGATGGTCAGACATACAAATAACTTAGTCCTGACACCAGTTACGACCTGGAATCTTTAGTATGCAGACTTCTCTACACTGATATCCCGAACTAACAATTTTTTTGCCGAAAGTTTGAAAATCCAGTTGTGAAAAACGTGCCTGATTACTCCGCCCAGATAACTCTTTGTTTCTTTATGATTATCATGAGCTTCTCCTGAAGGTATAAACTTCCCAGATAAGTAGATAACGGCCCTCAGTCGTAGCTCCAATATGAATCCCATCCTTTTTTCCTGCAATACATTGAATCAGGTTAATCAAATTAAAATTCCATGTTGCAGCGGTCGGTGCATCGAGCTGAGCGTTAGTAAAACGCTCGTCATCGCACCTGCGTGGGTTCGCATTCCGTGGGGGGCAGTGGCGTAGCATCCACCCCCGCGGACACGGGAGGGCCCACAGCGCAAAGGGGCCCAAGCGGTTAGAATTTAGAAATTTAAGCCGCAAACCAAAAGCTGCAGTGCAAAACAAGTAATGCACATCTTGTATCGTTGATGTTAGTTCTGCTCAAATCGTTTTGTTACGTAACAATGCCAGGGAGTCGTCAATTTTCGGCGTCTTGTGGTTTGATTGCACCGACGAAACTACGAGGGCTGTCAGAATGATGTCGAAAGCAAAACCTCTCAGTGGCGCACAGAAACGCAGAAAAAGGGCAGAAGAGGAAGAACATGTGAAAAAATTAAAGTAACCAAGATAAACGGCAAATTTTAGGTTACCATTGCCTTTTATAGCGACATTTTATGCTTTCTCACGAAATTAAAAAAGCTTTGTTGTACCTTCAGTAAACATCGCAATGGTAGAGGAAATATTAACTATCACAAAAAAAAGAATAATTCTCAATCCGGATCCCATTTTCGCTTGGTGGCGCAACGATAACTGTCCATCCGAAGGCTTCATACCCCGCGGGTCAGCAAAAAGCAACTTTCAATGTACATAGAAATTGAGTCGAGAACATCAGAAAAATACTCTTCGTGTGTGTCTCATTACAAATTTATTGGTAATGTAGTTAACTTCGTTTACCAAAATTTTGTAATTCCGCTAGAACGGTTAGCCAGTGTTCAGTGGTAACTGTTCAGTACGGTATTTGACTGAAAATTGCCTCAAATACTGTTTGAAGCTAAGAGGAATTAGGGATTGGCTAAGTAGTGAACTTCTAATAATTACTATCAAAACTAGGTGACTATATTCAAATTTTAATATCCCAAGATTGTGGTATTTGGACTGAACCTTTCTCATCGATAGTCCTGTCTCTATCTGCCTGTACCAAAATTTATCCGTGCCTTTATGGCACGGAAAAGAGAAAGACTGGGAATAATTATTGCTTCAACTTCTGATTGAACCGACAAAGGATCGAGAATAAAGCCCTCACTGTTTACTACTTTTGAGTAGGATAAATTTATTTCTGTACTTTGTCCCGAAAATACTCCAGTCCACTTTAAGCCATTCAGGTGTCTAAAGATTTTCTTAAAATAGTTCGCAATAGACTAACAGAGTAGACAGACATACACCACGAGTGGTACATTCGCATTTAGTCCAATCTTGGGCGTTTACAGAGAGGTCATTTTGATTGTTTGTTTTCATACTGTTAGTTTGAGATATTATAGTTATTACAACATAAGTCGCTATGGCAAGTAGTCTCCGATGCATGCCACCCGATCGCGATACTAGAAGAAAACAGAAATTTCGTTCATTGAAGCAAAGCGTTCAGTTCGCAAGTAACAGACGGGTAAGATTTTGTTCACTAAATCTATTAGAAGACATTTTCAATTGCAATAAATTAATGTTCTTTCAGTGGTGTTTCTTTGCTGAGTTTGATAACGTCCCAAAAGAAATCACCAATGCTGCTGTACAAAAGCTGTGCAGTGAATATGGAAATATCACTACTGTACAAGGGCTCGACAATTTCCAAACGACGGCGAATACAAGAAAAGTGTAAGTAACAACTTAGCACTGCGTTCAATCAGATTTTAGTGAATTATTGTGAAGAGGGGGATATCAATCATATTATTGAAATCAAGCCCTGTTTTCAATAGGAAACACGGACACGAGGCATAGCTGTTCTTTACACATTATCGTTTCCTGTGAGTTCCAAATCAGTCGCATAAAAACAGTGGGATGATTGTTTCGCCACAAAATTCATATATATATATATATATGTACGATCGTTCCGCTCTTTCCCGTACCCCAAGAGCATTGTGTTTGTTGGTGTTTTTTGTGGTCATTATTACACAGTTGTGTGTACCGTAATAAAATAAACTTTTACAAATTACATTTCAAGATCGGTAGGCTTCGCTTCTCCCTTGTGTGCCTTCGCTGCACAAGAAGCCCTGAATAATTACGATATTGGAAAAGACGCTTCATTAGGACGAGAACATTTGTTACGCGTACGGCACAATCCTGGCCGAAAATCGTACGTGGCTGAAGGTATTTTTTTATTACTATTCATATCCTTCCATTTGAGTTACAATGCCTGCTGTACCTAGTCTGTAAATTGAGATATTATTTTCAATTACCACTATAGATATATATATATATATAGCAAGGATAGGGGTTATATCTATGTCCGAGACTTCAACTTGCTAGCCTTCTCCATCCCTATAACCTGTACTAGTAACAGTAGTTTGTAGTATATTCGGCCTACATTAACTTTTTTATTTCCTGGGACCGATATGACATACTATCAAGCATAGATGAATGAAATATGATATATATAGGAGATCCCAATTATACTCTACACAAATAAAAATGACCATTGTGTTCAAAATCTTAGGAACGTAATTTGCTATACTAGTCGGTAGCACTATTTGGGCATTTCAGGAAAAATATTATATGTGGAAAGTTTAGCGATCTTTCATGTTTAACTTTGAGGTGGTTAGTTTCGTGTCATAAGATTCTCTAAGAAAAAAGACTTGCAAAAGTGATCTTGCATGCGCTATATAATATAGATCAGCCATTTCAGCAATCCGTCTTGTCAACCACAGGTAAAAAACACAAGTGTGAAGAAGACGATTCTCATCAAAAACAACGACTTGAAGAATTATCTCAAATTCATGTTGAAAATTGCCATATCCCGCTGAGTAAAGTCTTGATTAAAACAATGAGAAGCCTCAATATAAATATAAAACGTAAATTCTTATTGCACAATTCATATACATATAGCCATTGTCAAGCTTCTTTTTCCATCCAGTAAAACACAGCATGTGGCGAACCAGCGATGGTTATCAAGCAGCGACCGAGGTTCAAATATATAATTAAAACATTTGTAAGCAAGAAAATATTAATTGTCAAGATATATATAAATGAATAAAAGCGTATCTTGACTTTCAGGTCAAGAGGGTACAACGTCATCAACAGAGATGCAACGAGTTCGGGGGATTTTGCAGCAGTTTCAAGAGAATATCGAGGCATTGTCAGATTAAGAAGTGTAACCGAAGTTTATAGAGTCAAATTGAATTTCAATAAGAGAAAAAATCACTATTTCGACTGCACGGATTATGTTTTAACAGTGTGAGCTCTGAGCTTATTTTCATTTTTCTGTTTTATTTACATGCTTAAGAAATACATATTCTTTCAATTGGCCATGTTATAATACAATTCACATAATTTAGTACAGCGATTCTCAAAGTGGGCGATATTGCTCCAAAACAGGGGCGAAAATCCGAGAGGGCGATTGCGCATTTTCGGAAAGTCAAATTTGGATAAAATCGCCGATTGTTTTCCTGTGGGTATTTGGACCGTGAACATCGGTAATTATGTCGATAAACTATATTTCCGTGAATTCTTCTTGCCCCCCTAAGTAGTCCCCTGGATATGCGTCAAAGGACGTTGATAAAGAGTTTTTTTCTCGTCCTGAACTGTGCGTAAAGTGTGGAAATCCCGTCATTATGCGAACATCTGGGACGAGCCTCTAAATAGGATTGGATACACAAAACCAATTTCCGACTGAAAATAAGGAAGTGAATATTAAAAATAGAAAGCGGTGTTATAATATAAATTAAAAAAAATTAGTTTTAAAGAGTACCGCGACTGATTAAAAATTCTATTCTAATAATGTGCGCGATTGCATTTTGTTACAATCGCCGATTTTTTTCCTCAGCATGGCGGCGTGTTTTTGAACCTACATCTTTACGCCGGTGTTTATTCTCCCCCCAAATCAAAAATTTCCTTAGGCATATACATGTATTGTTACACAATGACGACGTTAATTGCTTTTTTGTTCTCGTGGGTAATTATGAGTTCAATGTGAAAAATATGTTACCATTTTATAGTCATCGGCGACGAACTGCTAAAAATAATAATTAATGAAGAGGTAGATCCGCAACTCAAATTTCTTGATTGAAAAGCGGCATTCTAAAATATTAAAACTAAAACTTAAAATGGAAGATCACACGTTTGGTTTCAGCAGACTCACCTCAGATTGAAAACGCTTTTATAGACATTGTAAATCGCAAAATTTGCTGTTATGTTAGATTTTCATCGTAGTAACTGCAAAATCGAAACACAGTCAATTGTGCGTGCGATGCACCTTTTTTCCCAACTGGAAACTGCCGACGGAGCCGCACGCAATCAGTTGTGAGCGCGATCCGCGATGTACCTTTTTTCATTCTGAAACTACCGACGGAGCCGAATGCAATAAAATAAATTTCAATTGTTCGTATTTTGCCCAGACATTGTGATTTTTCAAACGGCGATATGTTGCTTAAAAATAATCTGAAGTGCGAAAGTAGTACATTCAAATTTTAAATTACCGCCGGGTCGCATTTGACTTCTTTACCACATTGCGATGATGATATATATAACTAATCAATGTAAAATATGTTCAATAGTGTTTTTTATTTATTCTAAAATAAACTGTATATACTCTTTAGGAATTTGTCGCCGTCCTTCGGATTTTTTTAACGGCGATATCTTACAAATGATCTTAAGTAATAATGTTGCAAGAACAACTCGAAAAAAATAATTCAAATCTAAATATAATCGGGCAGTTTTCCACGTATTTAATGTACACAGGTTGTAGTAGTAGTATCTCAGAGTAATAATGCTTTTACCTAATCGTTATAAATTGTTCTTAAATAATTTTTAAGCGGCTCAAATTTAACAAATTACCAAGATCACAAAAATTCGAATCAATTCTAATTATAATCGGGCAGTATGCCACGTATTTTCATGTACGTAGATTGCAGTATTTCATAGTAGTAATACTTTTATTTTATTGTAAGTCGGCACAACGACGAGTTAGGATGTAAATAATAATTAAATTAATATGGCAAGAAATTTTTTGATGCTCGTATCAGCGGCCATGGACTGAATATTTTGTACAACAGAAAAATCATCATTATTGTAAAATTCGGCAATTTTAACGAAAGGCTTAATCGCGACGACTATGTTAATCGGAATTTCCGTTTTCTATTTTGAATACAAAATAAAATTCACTGATGATATAGTTTAGGCAAGTCATCTGGCATTTTGACAACGTAGAAATGTTGATTTTTTATCTCTAACATTTTATTTGGTAGAAAAGGGGTCATCAAAGCTAGGAATGGTGATGATTTGAGATGGTACCTGACTAAATTGTCTTCAAATATTGAAAAATCTTGTTGAAAATCCTCTATCTTATTGAAAAACATGATGCACCAGGATCAGTCCGTTTGTTTATTTGTTTTAAATTAAATTTGTTTCTAACATCATGTTTTGTTGTAATGCTGAGGGCGATGATAACATGAAAAGTACTGTAAAGGGCGACCGTACAAAAACGTTTGACGACTGCGATCTAGTATATGGGGCGTTATGGATGGAACGTTATGGAGTTATTTTCCTAGACAGAATTGAAGAAGTTCAGTTCATTTAAAAATTGATGACTCCGGATTGAAACATCGGCGCCAACCACAAGATTTCGACATTCCGAAGTACCGAATTCGGTTCCATAACATTTGAACCCACGTACATTTGAACCCATGACAATTGCACCTGCATACTATTGCACCTATGGACATTTTTTGTTTTACGGATATTTGAACCCGTACCCATGAGGTTTAGCACCCGCATATAGATTGAACCCGCGGATATACACATGGGTTCAAATGTACGGTCACCACCGAATTCCGATAGCTGGGGGTTTAAGAATTACTACTGACTTCAGAAATTTTAAATATACAAATCTTGTCTTGAATGTCAGCAAAAAAACAAACTCGAACTTCACATTCAAAGCTATGCTCATGTCATATTTTGTATTTGACACAACGAGAAAATTCACCGACATATTGAATTTTCCGTGGCCCGTGAAATATATTATGACGCCGTAAATAGATTTTGAATATATTTACAATAACTACGAAATTGCAGCTGTAAGTGTCTATATTTGGTAATCTCGAGTTTGAAAAACAAAATTATGAAGCCCAAAGATACGATACGCTTAGTCTCAGTGCGTCTTTCATATTAAATTTTTGTTACGTCATATTGACTTTATAAACGTTTTGTTTAGCCTGATTTAATGAATTGCAAATTTTGACTTTTTCAAAATTTTTTCTCTGCGGCTAAGCGCACGAGCAGATATTATTTTGTAATTGTCACTTGCCAGGTCAGCATTATCTATTCTAGTAGTACTTTGAAAATTATTATAGTCTAATTTTCGTTGTGGCATTCAACTGGCCTAAATTTAGCAATCCTCTAAAATAGTGATCGACAATTGGTCCACGTCCAGGTAATCAATGCCCGTCTTCTAAGATTAAAATATCCCGACTATTTTGACAGGTTAACGTAATTAATTTACGTATCATAATTTCAATGCTTCATTAGCTTACGTGGTACATGATAGAATTTTATAGCGTTGGTAACAAATATGTTTAAGAAAATTGTCTGTGAAAGTCGCTCGAGGTCAATAGAACGTTTTTGCGGAACGATGAGAGGAATTGGTCGTTTAAGGTTGAACTACTGATAGATGTCATTGAATTGGCGGACTTTTCATTTTTTTGAATCGTTTCACATTATCTAAGCTAAAACCCTCAGGCGGTCTCACATTTACGCAGGCAACGTATACTTTACGAAATCTACGTCAGTTTAAGAGCCATAAAATAAGACTAAATAGATTTTGTCACAGGACTATGAGTTCATATTCTATTTGACTTGTGCCATTGTTGGGTTATATTATAGGCGGGTGTGTCACACAATGCTGTGGCTTTCAGCCCGAAAAAACAACCGTCAAAGAGAATAAGGATCTCCCTCTCGCCGTGCGTTGCGGTCTCGCTTCGTGAATTTCTAAAGCGTATAAAACGCACATATTGAGAAATTGAATACCTCAGAACAAGACTAACAGGACCGTTCTATATTTAGTACAAAATAGTGGTTGCCAGGTACAATTCTAGCGAAGGTAAAGAATGAGATTTCGCAACAGGAATTGTCAATTCGACCGGGAAAATATTGTACGAATAGGCATGTGTAGAAATTTCCAAATGAGTAAATGAACGAAAATTTTGAAAGTGTTTGTCTAGAGATGGCTACACTCATTTTCGCGAGCGTAGACAAAAACTGCAAGTCAGGTAATGTGTAAGGTATATTTGAGGCCCTTGACATACTATGCATACCATTTTCGTAAACGGGATTTTGGGTGGATATATAAACAAAACGCTTCGTTTATTCATTTGTGTCTGTATGTGTCCAGTTTTTATCAACTAAAGTAAATCGAGAACATGGCGTTTCAAACAATAAATTATACCAATATTTTAGTGATAATTTGAATAGTTGAACTAATTCATGCTGCGTAATCTCCTTGACTGACTGCACGAAGAAAATATTTAGTTTGGTAACAGTTTTATAACATAATATAAAATTATATGCCATTATCCTGTCTAGGCTGTCCTTCAAGATTTGCAGTTGAATAAATGAGTTCTTGTTTGGTACAGTACAATCGTCTCAATTATACAAACAAAAAATAAATGAAAAAAATTGACCAAAAATGATTTGGTAGTAAAAATAGTGATATAATACCATAACTAAATTGAAATGATACTGTCAGGTGTATTGTTTTGTGTTAAACTCTATATTACGTCACGTTTCGTGCTGAATCACTTAGCTCGACCGCCTATAACTTGAAAAATTATGACGTATTACGCATGGTGCGCACTCGATTGATACCACGACTTCCTCCATTGGTGACGTTTTGTGACTTTTCTTAGATAGGCTGTTAGTTAGTCCTGTAGTTGTGTAGGTTAACATTTAGTAACACTATTTGATTTTTTTGCGGCCATAAACTCATACAAATTGCGATTCATACAGTGAGAATTTATTCTAGTAATCGAGAGTTTGTTGTAGTTTGTGTATATACTTGAGTTTAACAGCAAATTCATTAATTAATTCGATTATATTGTGACTTAAATTATCTGTGCAGTTTGTTTGGGCTATGAGGTATGTATGGCTTTTCATATCCGCTTATTTGTTTGCACCGATTTTGCACGATATAATATTATTGATAAAGTAAGGATTCAGTGGATATCAGTAACATTATGAATATAATACGTTGAAGACTGGACAAATATATTGTTTTGGACGTTGTCGCTAAAATACATAGAAATTCTTTTCTACCCAAGTATCAGGGGTTACAAAAACAATCTCAATATACTCGTATCACGGTCATTCGACGTCTCAATAACAAGGTGGAAAATGGCGATCAAATCTGACCCTCCGTGGCAAACGTGGTACATATATATTTTGTGGGCATTCAGTTATTGCTGACAAGCATATCAGGACAGTCAATAACAACAGCACGAATATTTCCATATAAATGCGAGCTGCACAGGTTATTTATACATCAAATAAATTTCAAATAAAAAACGACATGAATGATTTCCAGGACTTTTTCATTTTAATAATACGTACGTAATGATTATCCATAACCTACGAAATGGCGGTGATTCTCTTATTCTAAATTTCCACACGCAAGATTTTATATGCGTCATTCGATCTTTCTGTTATGATAATTCTACACGTACATGCGTTTTCCGACAATTCCTGTTTTATTTGTGTACGTAATTGTTTTGTTTATGTATCGGATTGTCATTGTTTTAATTAATCACAAACCGGATCTAATTTGCAGACGCCAGTAATTATCAATGATAAAATACGTACAGTAACATTTTGATTTGGTGGTGTACTATTTTGATTTGGTGCAAGTTGCAACGTAATATGGCTTGCTGCTGCAAACGGAAAGGGGATGTGAGAAAATGCGTACCGTTCTATATTATTGGCGGAATTTTATGCATAATTGGTTTACCGCTGATGATCGTCGGTATCGTTGCTGATTTCGCGGGAGCTGACTCAGTTGGTTACATTGGTGGTGTGGTCATTTTCTTCGGACTGGGATTCTTTTTGCTATGGCACATGTTTACGATTGAAAATATTGACAAGAATTTGGATCTTGATTATGACCCTAATGTAAAAGACATTCGAGATGTAGTTGAAAAGTCGAGGATACGAGAGTCAACTTCATTATCTGCGATTAGCTTCCAGCAAAAGAAGACTGGAGTTTCAAACTTGGCTTTTGAAGGTGATAAAAGCGCTGACTCTGCAGTCGTGTTAACTGCTGATGACGAATCGCTTCACTCGCCGTCGAGTGCAATCTCAAAAAATGGAGAAGTAAACACCACTGACAATAATTCTGTAAAACGGGCGCCTCCACCCTTTTATGAGTACGATAACGAAGCGTTGGAAGTCGGTGAAAAGGATGACGATGGTTCAGGTGCTTCATTTTTAAGTATATCGAAGATCGACATTGGGAGTACATCATCTAGCGCGAGGTATGTTAGCAGTATCCGACTATATAAGCCTATTTAGGTCTCGCCAAATGGTTCATCAGGGGAAAATCAAACCTTGATATCACTGTTTTGGCATTTACAAGAAGGACCTATAAAACGTACTTGTACATATGTGTGAAAAACTAAATGTTCATGATAGGATCAGCATTGCCAAAATGCTCATAACAACGCTTATTTATTCAATGCACTTAGTGTTAGAGAATTATCATCACCAAAAGTTGCATGCTCATTGGATGAATTGATTTTATTTTGGATATTAATTCAAGATCTTAAAAAAAGGATATTTTTACATATTATCATTACAATACCCATCGACATGCTCGATTATACTTCCACAAGAATGAATATGCAAATTGGTCTTTGATTTATTTAGTTGAAGATTTAAAATTCCTATATTATATAGCGAAGGAAATTGAAAAAAAAACTCTTTTTAATATGTTAGGTCCTCTTACAACGGTACCACTACAACAACCATGCACGAAAATATAGAAATGATTTCAGATGGCACTAAACAGAAATCTTTGCCGGTAGAAATCGTATAGCAGAATACAATATATTGAACTGAGTCAAATCCAATCCCACTGGAAGGTAAGAACTTATGCAAATAAACAAAAAAAACGAATTATAATAAGTGAACTGGGTACTGTATAGCTTTTCGAAGCATAAGATCAGAACCAATACCCCTATGAATACTTTAATAACGACGACGATGGTTGGGCATAGTTTCTCAGGATGATTACATCGTAAATATAACTTTTAATTACGTCGCCCTGTCGGCTAAAGTCAAATTATAATGCCATAAAATAGTACTAAAAATTGTATTCCAGTCTCTAAGACTTTATTTTGTAACTATTATAAATTCAAGACATTAGCTTTAATTACATCGAAGTCGGAAGTTACGGAAATAGAAAATGAGTAACTCGGCAGATTCCGGTTTTTATGTTTCTCAAATTGCGGTTTGAAGGGTGAAATGAAAAACAATCAGTAAACCAAAAATTGAATGTCATTTAAAAAAAAAGACTATATAGGATAATTGTATTTTTTCTAAGTATAGCACCTCCCAATTTACACAAGCTTCCGATATTACTGTTGTTCAGTTTTCTATCTTTATGGTTAAAGTTACGTGTAATTAATGCAGAAGGCCTACAATGATCCAGGGGCCTGCAATGATTATTGAATTCCACTTCTTCAATATTTTCTGAAGACTTGAAAAAAAAACTTTTGTAGTAAATTATTCAGGTTTAGATATACTGCAGCTGCAGTTTGGGAGGTTGATATAAATAGTATGTCGCGGGAGAATATTTAGGCTATGTTGCCACGTACAAACGTACATATAAATTTGCCTATATCTAATTATTTGTATCGTGCTCAATATCGATATTCGAGAACGCAAATTGCCCATGTCGTTGAAAATAAAAACAGATCGAGCAACCAATATCAATCATCTGAAACAAATATGTGGTTAACTATTATAATACCCGTCATGAAATGGAAACCAGGCGGAAAGCCGTGGTTCGCTATATGATTAAACCATCTTCCGGTAATTCCTCTCCCCGGAGTGAATTTTGAAAATCCCACCCTAATCTTAACGTTACCTCTAGGTGCAATGATGTACACCAAAAGATTTGCCCTAATGTTTTATGATATTTTTTCAAAAATGAAATTTGGATAAATACGTAGCCACGATCATTCTGACATATTTGGAGCAGAGCATATGATACTGCAATTGAGTGCCTCAATTTTCAAATTCCTAGAAAATTCTTTAAAAAATGAAAAGTGCGTTTAAAAGGGTCAAAAATAACACATAAATATTTTTGTCGTAGACGCCACTTTTCCAATAACAACATCCATGGTATTTCATGTCGGTTTTGTTGATATACATATCAAAAGCCTTTAGAAGCAATTTTATTTCGGGAGCCCACTTAGAACCGTATTTTCGTACCTAAAATGTAATCGCCCCACTTAATTCACATTTGTGATTTTCGCGAATAAAATTTCAAACTTAAGATGAAATCTTTTCAATTTCCGCGGTTTTATTTGTTATCAAAGGAAACAAAAATTGATCGTCACTCAAGTGGTTCTAACAACCGCTTGTGATGCTTTGTTTACTTTCTATTCTCGTTAATGGATCTAGCTACAACGATAGTTGTTTCTAGAAAAACAACAGAAATCTACAAAGCTAATAATTCCTCATTATTTGCCAATTCATTTTTCAATCCCTTCATTTGTTATCATTTTATTGCAACCAATTAGCCCTATTTTGTAATCATCTCCGTCATCGTTTTCGTCAGTCGGTAGAGCGAATTCTTTTTGATCAAAAGATAGATTCAAAGATCAAAGGTTTGTAGCGGGCACAGAGTCACAGCGAGCCTCATACTTTTCCATAGACCACGCGCTTCATTGGATGAAAATTTCTGAATTAAACAAGATTTATAACACTCTGAAAGTAAAATTACTTGAATTTATTATTTTTTCCATACGAATTTATTGCTGCATCATCCCATTCTTAACTCAGCGGGCCAATGTATATTTTCTGTGCTCGATTAGATTGCTCAGCGATTAGTTGAACGGATAGACATTAAGCAAAATATGCTGAATTATAAGTCATCGCCCTAATAAAATATTTATTCGCTATTTTCTCAAATGTGAAATACACGCGACGATTTCGTTTCTAAGTTCTAACTATATATTTATTTCATCGATATCTTCTATATTTTCCTCATTAATATTTCATCCACATTCAATTAGTACCCTTATCTTCATCCGCCTACTGTAATTCAAAATTTATTTGCATATTTGTATTTATTAGGCTCCATTCTCAATATTTTTACCTTTTCAAAATTTCAGTAATTAACTTGAACACCATCCACAATTAAGATAAAAAGAAATCGAAACCGAATTGATGGTCACATGCTATATTTGACTTTGGGCACATCAACTGGGGGACATCAGAATTCGGACCTAGAAATATGGACAAAAATGTCGCTATTATAATAAAAGATAATATATGCTTATATATATGTATAGTGACTATGTATCTAAAGTTCATATAATTTTTCCCATGTGTTTGCCTTCGCGTAGTTTACGCGTGGAATCTTGTATATAAACCTTTAAAATGTTCATATTTCCTTCATGTTCAGCTTTATCATGCCCAATATGACGACAAAAATCCCTACAATAACAATAATACTAGCTGTATTGCCACAAACAGTAGGTTCATGGGATAATAATTACAGTATTTCGCTTTGCTCTATAGTTTCATAGTAAAATATTTCAGCTACGAATTGAATGGCAAGTGTTTGAAAATGTGTGTCTTCAAGCTTACATTTCTCACAGATAAACTCATGTCTATTTTACTGTTTCACAGAATGCCCCCAGCATGCTTTTGAACGGAACATAATGTATCTTCTGGAGCGTGTAAAATAAAAATATGCAAGACCGACAACCAAGTATATGTCAAGCTTCAATTTTATTTCTGATTTAATGAGCTTATAGCCTATTATACACAGTCAGACATAATTATAGATTTGGAATTGTTCCGCGAAAGTCCTCGCTTAATATCTTGTGTTCGCAACTAATTTTGCGTTAGGCCTACTTGATTCATATGAAAATTTTCTATTTTGCACAATGCCTCAACACTAACTAGAGCTGGTAAATGAATTCGAATTTACGTTACTAGTGTCTATTATTTCTGGCAAGATGTGTCCCACTGTCATTTGGTTATAATTCTGACTACTATTACTCGCATTGTCGAAGGAAAGCATGTTATTTTAATTGAATCATTTCTTATGACCGTCCAAGATTCTAGATCCTTAGCTATTTAATATTTATCATGTTAGAATAGAGAAGCAGTGGAAACCGCAATTTTGAATTTCAAAATGCTTTAGAGAAAAATATAATATACTATTATGCTATTGCAATAGAATACGAGCTACTTTAGAATATTATTTTTATTGAATGTGCCTTGATATAATATATTTTATTGCATCTAGCTCTTTCGAACAAAATCGTTCCCTAACTTTACTTTATTTATTATCATGCAATGTTCCCCATTAATTGTGGTTGCGTTATAAAATGCTTTTCGAGTTTGAAAGTTTTGTTTTAATGGTATGCGGATAATTTTCAATGTATTACCTATCTAAGAATGCGCCAGCAAGGATACAATGAAAAAAAACCGTGGCCCTCTTCCAAAGACTCTCAACACCTGTGGCCCCATGTTCTCAGTAGAAAAAACCTACTTTTTTTGAAGCGTTTTTTTCATCAGTTATTTTGTGCACCACTTTCAAAAATAAAAAAGCCAACAAACGGAAATAAAATAAAATGCATTCCAGTCAATAAAGTAAACAAATTACAACATTCTTTCTTTAAATAAATGCATTTATAACAATGATATCAAGTCGAGGCTTTTACTCGTGGCCACCGGATAACCAATCCGAGCACCATCGAGGACCCAGTTTGAAAACCCTGGTTTATATCATTTTGGGCTCATGTTTTAAATTTGCACTTTGAACAGGAAGACCTTTAGATTCCGTCCTTAGTTATATCATGCTATACTCTGAGGTATTTCATTTGAATATTCCGCTTTTACCTTTGTTGATTGCATAGACAAAACTTTTCGTTTTGCTCTTTTTTCAGTACTATGCCTTGCCTTCAACAATTTTTCATATGCATAAATGAACTATATAGGTTCTGTTATGTACACTCTTTCTGTACTATGCCTTTCCATATATTATTGTTTATTTTTTGTCGCTTTAACAATACACTGTCTAAAGTAATCTCTCCAATTTGAGACAAATAATTTACCAGATGATATGTCGTGTATATTCTTGAGAGACTTGTATGTGTATGTAGTGTAGGGAAGAACAAGGGAGGGAGTTATTGACTCTGATCAGTCGGACTCGAATCAAGTTTTCGAGTGACTGGACTCATTGCCAGAAAGACGTTAGTTAAGAATCGGTGCATATTTTTGGCTGTCCTTTGAATTAGCAAAAATAAATTACAGTAAGATATAATTTACGATTTAAAATCAAAAATTAAATTATTGTGTAATTAAAATTTCACGTTTCAGTGTTAATGCGACTCATATTCACCAATTTCAATATTGTTATGAAATCTACTATCACTCGAGCCCAATTTGTAACTTGAAACAGTAGCAAATCGCATTGACTTGCGACACGGGAGAGTGCGATGGCTCAACTTGACTCGTGTGCCCAGCACAGTCTATATGCGTATGTAGTGATTGCACATCGGTATCGTACTCGTTTTCGCTAGATGTGTTTTATTCGGGACAATGGGTCAAAGATCTGTCGTGAGTTGCAAAAATAGAAAAAATTTGAAACCCGCGGATTCCGAGTTTTTTGTTTATCATATGGAGTCGAGTTTTTCTAAAATACGAAACTATTTGTCAACCCGGATTCGTAATAGGTTACCTGATGGGGTTGAAGTCTTTTGTGCGACTCTACAGGTAAGATTGAATAAGAAGTCTTAATTAACTAATGATATAAACTGCTACCCCGGTGAAAAGTCGTGGGTGGCTGTGCTTATCGAGTAAATAATACAATTGTTATTCGATCGCGGTCGTATGTTGTTTTTGATGCAGCTATTTCAGTGTTTAAATGGTAGTGTATTTTGCAGAGAAAATCTTTTCTGATAGCTGGTAATCCATTTTGTTAAAAATTCCATTTTATATTCTTTTCTGTTTATCTACCTGAAGTCGCAACCTAAGCCAGCATGTCTCATCGAACCCAATTATTTGCCCGTGATCACAATGCTTCCAATCAGATGGCTGCGATAAGGTAGGATTTTTCATATTTATCCCAGAGGAGAGGAAATCTAATATCAGACTCAATCGTATGACGAACCATGGCCTCTCGTCCGATTACCAGCCCATGTCGAGTATGGAAATACTGAATCCGCGCAGGGTACCAGTGCGATGGCCAGTGTTTTTCTGTCGTCTAGCGATTCGCCAATTACCGAGTCTATACTGCTCCAGTGTGCAAACGCCCTTTCTGTTAAATGTCATAGATGAGCTGCGAACTTTGAATCTATTTCAGAATCCCGGGACCCATTGCATAGAAATTCCGTACCGAATAGGCACACACACATACAGTAGCACGGTGTGTTAAAGGTTCAATGTGAATATTATGTAAACGCAAAACCTTGTAAGTGGACATCGCCCAACTAAAACCTAAAGCATATCTCGTAGAATCTTAAACTTCATCGATTTTAGACTCTTTGGAACAAAGTTTTATTAACAAATAGATGATGGATTGCAAAAAAAAAATTCATTTTAAACTTTCATCTTTTGTACTTTGCTCGTTTTCTTTGTTTCTGGAGTATAATCATCCAATATCTGAATACATTGTCGGTAGATATCCACACGGAGCAGAATTGTATGGTGGTCTATTTACCCACTTCTTAGATCTGGAAAACAAATGAAACTATATATTGGGAAGGATCTATAGCTAAGCAAGCGATTGTCATTGTTAGAATCGCAAACTCCTTTATCGTAACCTTTATAAACTCTGTTATGATAATTTCGACAACATTCGAAAATTCGATGCTGTATTAGGAACATTGAAAGATTCAGATTCAGATTCAGATATTTTATTTCGTCATGCAAGAATCAATATGAGGCAAAAGAAAAACACAGTAAATTGAAAAAACGAAAAACATTGATTCATTGCAATTGACGCGGGGTCGCGAATAGACTCAATGAGTCATCTAGTGCTTCGAATGCGGTGCTTATAAATAACTGTACCGTCAGACCAATTATTCACGGCATCTCTATTTTTTGTAATCATTTGTATTCTCACCTTGGCAAGTTTTGCACCCGTTCCTTTGCAGCAAACAGTACTTTCCATTCTCGCAATCTCTGAGGCTTTTACATTCTTTTTCGGGTTCAGCACATGTAGGTATAGACGGAAGTTTTGGTGTCTGGGATCCTAAAAGTCAGAAATCCAATTATTGAACACAAAGTTTACATAAGAATTGTTTTGTTATTAGGTTGTTGCTGAGCATGTTGTCAGTATTCCTATTTTTCTTGCAAAAAATCGCCTTTCTCATCAATTACTGGACCAATCCCTTGGAAATTTTCAAATGTTAAACATTTTTCGCTAAAAGGCTATTACATTTATTTATTTTAAAATTTCTGTGGTTCGTTATGTATGCGATGACGCCATCAAATTTAAAATTGCGCTTTTAGTGGCGGATCCTCTTTTGCATAAGTTGTGCTTTTGTAGTCAGCTGTGGTACGGTACCGGTAGACTGCTGTAGCAGGTTGCATAAATACTTCGTGTCCATATATTTGAGCATCGTTCTCTTGTTAAATACGATAATACAGTCCAGTTCGAACGACAGTACAGTTTGAGCATGTAACGGACAACCGATATCGAGAAGATTCGAGTTAGGGACTCATTTTGGGCGTGTCTTTATAATAGCAAAAATTTTCGATAAAATAATATTTTCTACGTATATTAGGGCTGTATTGAAAAACTATATATATATACTAACTTCTTGCAGCAATATTTAAAAATAGGCCGTGTTGATAACGATGCCAATGTTTCCAATGCATAATTAAATCTTATTGTATGACCTTTAAAATGCTCGAATTTATCTAATTCAAAGTTGTTTATGGAATCTACTAAGATTCTGACTCAAACGCGACTAGACTTGGGACTCGAAAGGGCAGTGTCTCAAACTGACACTCGAATTTTAATTTTTTGCTGTGAATCGGACCTGACTCAAGACTCGGATTTCCCGTGACTCAACTCGACCTACAACACGGGATTTAGGGACTTGTACCTGCAGTTAACTAGGTGATTGTCGCAAATGTATTGACTTAATGATTATCTAAAAATTCCTAATCCACATCAATTTGGTTTGTTTATAGAATTGTCAGGCTTATTTTACATACAGTAATGGGATGGCATTCCAAGTTGATAATTTTGTCAAAAAGTCTTCTTATTATATGCTTTTACAAAAATACAGGCATATACTTACTTAGTACACATCTTCTGCATCCATCATCCCCTAATTGGCATGTCTTTGTACCGAGCAAATCACAAATGCCGTGACATTCTGACTCAGGTGTCGGACAAGTAGGTTTTATGTGTATAGCTGAAAACAATCCGGTTGTAAAAATTTGACGACTCGTTTAAGCAAAAGTCCTTACATTTTTAAGTATTCGTTTATTTGTTTGTAAACCTATATATATTTATTGTATAATTCCATGATTTACCAAAGTATACAGATTTCTAATGTCATGAAACACAGAATATATAATTGAAAAGGCTACAGTAGCACTGCCTGTTGGTGATAGCCTAATGAATACTTATGTTGGTGTAGCTAGCCAAAGATCTCATATTCAAACCGTATGCCTATCATGCCAAAATGTATCGAGAAAAACTATGTAAGAATATAGTTTCGGACTACGCTAAATGCTCTAAAATGAACAAGCCAATTTTTACAAATTTTTTATCGTAAATTTACACAAAGTTCATGTAAGTTTCAAAGAACCCACCACGAGAAATAAATTCGTAAAATATTGTGTTAAAGCAAAATATAAAAAGAAAAATGTCAAATTCCATTAATCTACTTCGATATTATCTTTATGATCATTTGGTCCATGTGTCGAAAATTAAACCAATAATTTATAAATTTCTCCCTGCCTAAAACTATAAAAAACGAATGTTATATCATAGTAATTAAATCAATACAAGCATACATCCTGTAACTAGTAAACAAAGAAATGTATTCTCACATGTAGAGGTACATGTACGACAGCCATCAGATGAACCAGGTAAACAACGTTCCAGTTTATTACAATCGGTATCACCCTTACAAGATTTAGATCTCCCGGGACAACTAAAACCTAAACAGAAAACAAGAAAAAAAAAATTTAAAATATTAAATATCCTAAAATACATATCATCTTCTCAACACTTGTCCGTTGTTGACTTAAGAAAATTATACAAACTCATACTAAACTTCATCAATAAGGTATAGGAAATTAATTTATTTAACCCTAATTTTTTACACTTGGATTATGTCTATGACTAAATGCGTATTTAGATTTAGACAGTTTTGATTTAACTCTATTTCTGTGACCAAAACAAAATATGGTGTTTCGACACTATTTATAAACATAATTAAATACGCCGTTGTCTAAATATCTTCAAACAATATTGAGCAAATTTTAGCTTCGACCTAAAGCTTTCGCTGACACAGTTGTTATTTCCTTTGTATTTACATGTTATTGGTATATTTTTGAGCTCTTCAACATTTATTAGTTTGTG